CTTATGGACTAATCTGTTTGTATAAATCGCTTCCGTACTTGTGAGCCCCATATATTTATACTCTGTTGTGTGTGGATTTTGTAAGTTAGCCTTCGGTAATCCCGGATTACTGGCCATCACGGCACCAAACTACTAGGGGCGGTTTGGGGTCGTGACATCGGGAGAGGCCGAGGCTCGAGGGGTTTAAGATGCCCCTTTTTAGCCAAAATTTGAAATGCCCTAGACAAAGGCATGTAGAGGGTGTGAAAGACTCTGCGCCCTCAAGGCAGGTACTTCGAAGTCTGAGGGTGCTTGCTAGAAAGGGTCGGCAGGCACTGCCTTGGCTTTCTGATCTTTTCCTGGTGTAGGGTTGGGAATGAAAGGAACTGTCTTGGTATGACGGGGCCTATCCCGATTTTCCGCCTGGCTTGAATTGCCTTCGGTTGGAGTGGGGAAAGCATCATCCACAGCTTTAGTCATGACTGCGAACACTTGCTGCTTATTCATTCCCCCGGCTTTCAAAGCCTCAACTGCCCACGGCAGTTGTTCAACGGGATTAGCATCTGTTCCCATTTTATTCTTACCTCTAGCCTCAGCCTGATCAAGGGTTTGGGTTGCTATATCAGAGCAGAACCCGATTGTTGTTGACATGTCATTGCCATAGCTTGGGACAGCTTTAGGCTGACTGAGCTCGATCACAATTCGTCCCAGTAGCGGGGGCTCTTGTGGTATGAAATTCCCGGCATATGGTGCAGCTGGTAGCGAAGGCGACATTCCATAGGCCAGATCGGCCACAGATCTCTGGAGGTCACCGATCATTCCCATTAACTCAAACGTGGTGGATTCACGAACTTGAAACATCTGGGGTTCCCAGATCAGGCGCGCAACAGGCGACCTGGACGGATGTGGTATTTCAGCATTGGTCTCACTTTGCAGGGTGATTCCTTGGTCTAATGCGGCTGTCATAACCACGATTTCCTCTAAACTTTGGGTCATCATAAGTCCGCTGAACCGAACGGAGATGATGCAACCGACGATTAACGGATCAGACGTCTGCCTTGCCTCAGCGAAGGAGAACACCAAATCTCTGAACTGAAAGGGAAAACAAGCAGCATTTCAACCCAGACGGAACAGACACAGACATGACTGAATAACTGTACTCTACTACTGATCATTGTTCCCCAAAATCACTGCCCCGAAACACTGAATCTGATACCCGCGGATATAACTGATTCTCAAATTCTGATACTAATGCCCTTAGGCCTGATGCCCCAAACTCGCAAACTGGTATGTACGTTCCTGTAGAGATACACTCTAAAAGCACATAGCAAGTAAGAGAGAGCCAAAACACCCCTATGTTGGGGTAGGGTTTCCCTGTCCTATTTTGTCAGGAGCTAGGGTTTCACTACGCACACAGCGGTTTCCAACAACCAAACATTGGGTAAGCAACCTGTCCTAGTTTGGAATGGTCATTATGGATTCCGAATATGCACTAAGTCGAATGGGCAAAAAGGGTGGCCCGGTAAAAATTGGGGTTTGTGTTCCCATATTGGCAGAGCCCGCGACCGGTCAGCCTTATGGCACGCTTCTCAAAGCGAGCCTCCGGCAAACTGCTCAGGAATAGCAGATGGCCAACACGGTGTACTAGGCGCACCTATGCACATTCAATGCAAAGAAACACATAAGTGTAGTCAAAACAAGATATCATGAGTTCGAGTCAAGTTCTCTAAATCCCCAGCAGAGTTGTCAGAAACTGTAGACGTCCCCGACCGTCCCGGGAGGATGAGTCCCGTTCTGTTCATTTTGGGCTCACTACAGTTCGGACTCAAATTGTCACGATTCTTAATCTGAACCAAAGAGTCCAAATCCGGCAAACCGTTTTAAAAAACAGATTTTTGTAAAGAAGTGCCAAACATGGACTGCTTTGCCAGATACAGAGTCGCCACCTAAATATTTTTTAATGGGGGAATTTAGGAAACCCTGACTCGTTTGCCCAAGGCCACGTGTCCGTCATTACCAAAGTTGTCTCGGCTCGGGAACTTGGGTACGATTGGGGAAGGTTAGCTATGAGCACCCCCTCTCGCCTGATCCGAAGATTGGCCTCTACTAACCATGATATCCAATTTTAAAAATGTTATGTGTTCTTATTCCGGTTAATTAGGTAGAATTACTATGTGATGCGCACAGCAAAACAAGTATAGACTAGATCGCCTAATTTGGAACAAAGCATCGCATATCCGTTTGTTTGGAAAATGTTTTGAAATTTGCTACTCGCGAGTAGGTTAAAACAAGAATTTTGATGAGTTGTTCCAACTCAAGCAATCCAACCTTCATCCATAGGCATTCAGGCAGTTCATATCGCATAAGCATCTAGCCACATGGTAAGCATGCTGTCATGTTAACATTCACACTCGTGCAAGATGGTAAAGCACAAAATACTTACAGTGTACTCCAAGCCAAAACAAAGAACTTGTTAGCACTCAATGTATGATCCAAGTCCATGTTAAGTGCCTGATGCAACTCATAAAGAATGAAATTAGGATAGGCTCGGCTAATCCTAGGATGGCATGTGAAATGCAACCATTTGATGCACATATTCAAGTTAGATTTGAAATACTATGCAGTTAGTATGATGCGCCGAGCCCGATGCATGCAATACTGATGAATGATGCACGTATGCATAGCATAAGGATGCTAAATTAAATATGCCCTAGTACTAACCATCAAAGCAGGTAAGTAAAAGGGAGAAAGAAGTGGGGGTTGGAAGACATGCACACACGCACCCACACTTATTACAAATTTGCCCTTGCTCGGAGGGGCCGAATGAATAATACAGATTTAACTAACCTACAAGCTAATTAAACATTACAGACCAATTAAACTAGTTAAGCAAATTAACTAATCTTAATAAAACAGTAAATAGACTCGAGAAGAGGGCCCAATGCAATGCGTGCTCGGCTCCGCTCGGAAGTCCACTGCCATGCACAAGTTGCCTCTGTCCACACTGTTTTCCTTCTCTGATCATTGCAAAATTCCCAAGGTGTACTCTATGAACCCTGTGGGATACCACCGGCCAAGGGAAATCGTCACCGGCCAAAAGAAAAGATCATCGGTCACTGGTTAAGCTATCGGCCACCAATTGTTGGTCTGTCGGCACTAAAAATGGCCGGCTGGCCAAATCTTCCTACAGAATCCTGTTTTGACAGCAGCAGAGGGCAAAACAAGGATATATTTTTATAAGATTTACAGATTTACAAGAGGCATCCCACAGGCACCATTATTACAAACTAATAACATTGATATGAAATCACCTAAAGTTGATGTGCAAGCAAAAAAAACACTACTGATACTACTTTTAGAAGCAATGTATAAAACCTAAAATGGTAAAGTCACTAAAATACCCAAATACATCCAAATTGTGAACCCATATTAGAAACAACAGATAACAAAATGAAAACATGAAACTAACAAATACAGGCAAAACGGCATGAAAATCACCCAAAAACTTATCCAACAGACCAACATCTAGTAGCAGCAGCCTCACAGCAACATTGCAGCAGCAGCAGCAGCCCAGGAAGCATCAGCCACGGGGGCGGCAGCAGCAGCAAACCAACAGCTGCAGCAGACCAACAAGCAATAACCATCAGCCACCAGCAAAAAAGAAGGATCTGGTAGCAGTCTGTATTGATCAATGACAAATTTAAAACAGAGTCCATTAGCTTTTTTATTGATTTGGTAGCAGTCTGTGTGTGTGTGTGTGTGCGCGTGTGTGTGTGTGTGTGTGAGTCAATAGGTATGCAAGCTCAAGTACTGGCCAAAACATAAAGCTTTTACCATCATCTACTAAAAAATAAAATAAATTAAAAACCTTCGATTTCCAACTATACTAAAACAATCAGTAGCAGTAGATCCAATGCATTCTACACTCCAGTGAAAAAAAATGTTGTCCAAGTTACAAATCATTCACTTGCAACAATGGCGATAATTTACACAAGGCAAACTCATTTCAGATTCTCTACTAACATTCAGATAAGGTCCATTTCAATGATTTCTAATATGGAAGGCATATGCATTATCTCTGCGATATGTACAGAGGTTTCAGATTCTATGATATTACAATACAAAACTCCTAACCATTATCAAGTTCACATCATTCAATAATTTGGCAACAAGAAGAAAACAAATAAAATGATTGCATTCACTAAGAAACATAAACTTAAAAATTATAGGTAAGAGGCAACCATACTGGTGATCAGCAAGTAAAAGTGGCACCCATAATGAGCTAATTCCTACGTTTAAAGGAAGAGAGATTAATAGTATAAATCTATATTGTTTTTTCTTTTATTAATATATCCTCCAAGCTATTTTGTTCAAAATTATAATGTGTTTCATGTCTTTCCAAGTAATGGACATGTGTGTCCCCTTTATAAGTTCACCTAGTTTCAAAATACATAATCACTTTCAAAGTTTTCTAGTTTGTTTTCTTCACTGATTAAAACATCAGAGGGTTTGACCTGTTTCAGCTTGCTGCTGCAATCAGCAGGTTTTGACCATCAAGACATGAATAACAACTAGCAAACCTGTGACATTAAGATTGTGTTTGGGACTAGGATTTGAGTGGGGATTAGTGGTGGAAAAGGAAAAATAAGGGAAATGTGACAAAAATACAATTTCTATTTTATTTATTTTGCCTTCCTTTCTCTCTACAAATCCTTCAAGCAAACATAGCCTAAGGAGGGGAGTTTTCTGTCTTAAACAATTACCACCATATCACACATTGATCATCAAGAAGTTTTCCTATGTCATTCGTTTCTCTCTTTTAGAGTTATTTATTTTATTGTTATTATCACCATCATTATTATTTTTCCTTGTTCGCTGATAATTTTCTTTGGTTTTATATCCTTCTAGGAGTAAAGTGACAAAGGTTTCCAAAAAACTACAATGTGGGCCTCAAGATTAGGTGAGTAGGTCCATGACCAATTTACCTGTCATTAGCCCATCCAACTTTTTTTACATTCGCATTATGTATAAATTTTCAAAATGAATAGATAGAACAGTATTATAAAAACAGATACCAAAGTATTATTTTTAACAGTTGTGGTACTTACATGGGTTAGGGGAGGAGCATCAGGAGGCAGCTGGTAATTCTCAACCCGTGTAATAGAGACTGAAAGATCAGCAATTGTGGATCCCTGAATCAAAAAGGCCAAAAATATAAAAATATAAAATAAATCTAAGGGTTAATAGAAATTTTGAAATGGCACCCATTTGCATAAAAAATATTTCTAAAGATTGGGAAGCTTACACATCCAAGCTTCCCATCAGGAGGCTTAAAAAAATGTTCAGGTGAGACCTTGCGGTTCACATGACAAAAAATTTCCAAAGAGTGAGCCCCTAACTGAGAATTTTTTCTTTGCAAGTAAAGTTTTGTTATCTTCTTTTCTTTCTGTATTTTTCTACGTACATCTTTATTAAACTGAATATTTTAGAAATTTCCTAATTTTACAAAATATAAGGCACATGATTCATACATTAGGGTTTCATGCCTTCCGGATACGTTTGATTTCTACAACATTGTACAGAACTGCATCGTTCAGTTAAAATCTTTTTATTTTAAAAATTAATAATGAAAAAATTGAGATCAAGACTAATATAGAAAATCAATTGACATACTGTCAAAAGCATAGTTGTATCTGCTCCCTGTGATTCCTTGAAGGTAACGTGCAAGCTGAGATGTTTCAGTTTCCCTGCAGAACGTGCCACAAACTCTATGGAGCATTGATTATGTAAGAAATTTAACACTGGGTAAGTCAAGAGAGCTGACCTTTGCATTTCAACATACTGGATATCACCAGAAAAAGAGAAGAATTCCTTAATATCCTTCTCAGAGGTAGCTAGTGAGATATTACTGACTTTAACTGTTCTTACCTATGAAAAAAAAGAAAAAGAAAATGTGATTACGGAAAAGAAATATTCAAATTGCATTAACTGAATTTTGAATGCGGCGTGGTTCTTGCCACTTGCAAAACAAAATTTAAAGAAATCAAAACTAGTTAAACTGACAGATAATAGATTCAGCAAGACAGAATCTCAGTCACTTCAACAAAGTCCAAAATTATGTGCTCATCATCTTGGTGACATAAGGGGGACACACATATCCGAAAATAGGAATTTGAAGACAAAAGTGTAGTCATTCACACTGATACCCAATTCATAAAAAGCAGTTCTTATAAGCACCAACTAGTGGTTTAGTCATTCACACTGATGCCCAGTTTATGAATAAAAATAACTTCTTATAAGCACCGACTAGTGTGCACTTTTAGTAAGTATTTTCCTCACATCTGAAACATTAATTGTCCAGTTTGGAGTATTGCTTGGTGGTGCATCTGTTCTAATCTTTGAATTGGTATGATCCATGGGGACCTGCACATCACAGACCCAATTAGGTTCTTCTCAGGGTAGAAATAACACAAAAGTGCACAAACTTACATGTAAATGACACGGTAGGAAGTGGATACATCATACTTGATTTACATTAACACTCTGACTAGCCATGCTTGAAAATGACATAAAGGGGTAAAAAAGTGCAAGTAACCATGATAGACTACAATGCATAGTACATACTGCAGTGACGCATCAAGGCTAACTGAAAATTCATTTTCAAAGATAAATCCAAGTGACAGTATTGGAGAGCAAAGTAATGATTGTTGGGCCCCTTTCCTAAGGTCTTAAATTTTCAGGACTACTAGTGATCGTCTAATAAGGTGTCAAACCACAGGTTAACAAAGGTCTTAGGTTCAAGTTCTCTATATGCATTTGTTTCCTTGTTTGCATTTTGTTTCTCCACATGTTAGGATGTTTTCATCTCCACATGCAAGACGAGATTGCACATGACGAGGGTGTCAGAGAGCTCAATAAGCATTGTTGGGCCTCTTTCCACACAACTTGACCTTTTGGGATTAGTGGTGATCTAACAAAAGTAACATATAAGGTTGAATTCATCAATAAGCTAGGTGTTATATGAGCAGGCCCACGAAAAGTTAGATATCATAATAAGTTGATAGCATGCATTATGAGATACAAATAAAAAAGAAAATAAAAACTATAAAATATAAAAATTATAACCTGTAAATCACTTAAATATACTAATCAATTCAAACATTCTGAATTCCATAATTTCATTCATATTTCATATGCTAATGAAATAAAAAAAAACATTTACCTTAATAATCACTTGATTTCAAGAATCAGGGCCTAAAATGAATAGATGAGAGTAGAATCCAATCTTTGTTGAACAAATCTAACCTAAAACAGAGTAGATATAAGTTGAACATTAAAAAAATCTACCTACATTGAATTAATTCAATTTTGATAAGAATAAATGTGGTTACAAAATAAAGAAATACCAAAGAGATGGCATGTCAAAGTGGATAACTACATTCGAGAAGAATTTAACATTAGCCCTTAATTCTTGTTCATCCACAGCACAAAACTTTTCAGATTACCAAAAGAAACCCCATGTACAGCAACATATACATATTTACAATAGAAGAACGAAGCATATGATCTGATTCAATACGCAATCTTAAAAAAAGGATAGTCTTTGCAGAAACAATGGATCTAGAGAACCTCTCATGACTTTGGATAAGATCCTCAAAGATGAAGAACATCTAAGCAACAATGCAATCACTATTGTAGAGCAGAACAACATATATAGTAGATAATTACAGATACACCACATTAGCAGAGCAGAACAGCATATACAGCAGATACACCAGAACAGCCAAACAGAACAGAGAATAGCAACAAACTGTTGAGCTAAAATTACCAAGAAGTGGCATATAATTACCTTTAGAAGCATGGACTAGAATAACAATTAAAGATTTCTTCTTTTCCAAATCAAGAAGTGTGTTTAAGCAAAAATACACGGGTAGCCATGTTCAATTATCCATTAAGGTAGGTTTTGGTTTTTGTTTACAAACATTTTTTTATGCTTTCCTCATGTTTCTATTTCCAAGCTAACTAAAATAATGTACTAAAATGAAATTCTGACCCTTATATATAATATATAAGCAAAATCCCATCAATTTTTAAGAATTAAAACAATAGTTTAGTGAATGTTCATCAGCAGCAAAGTGGCAACTGAAAAATATACACAATAAAATGAACTAAATAAATATGTGATGCACTCTCCTCACCAATTTTGAAAAGGCAAAAGCCTTAAAGCATGACAGATCATTGAAAATCAGAAAAGCATACATGTAAACAGCATGCTTGTCTGATATCTACTAATTTAAGTTTTAGAATGGTATAAATCATTTTTATCCTTTTACTTAACATCATTATTTTTCAATTTGCATATCAATGACAAAACTTACACACTTAAATTATACCAAATATATGAAGCTACTAGGCTGTCACTAATTTTAAAGAAAAGCAATTAATTATCAGTCATACATGCTTAATTATTATTTACAATGGAGACATCACTCACTACACATGATGATCATGCAAGAGGCTACTTGTGTAAATAAAACCTATCAAGTACAAAGGTTTCTTTTTATTGAAATTCATCAAATTTACCTCACAAATCGCAGGGTCCATTCTGCAGCTAATTCATCATGTTTTGCTTTATCAGCCAAGTACAAGCAAGCAATGCCTACAACAACTGGATTATCTACAAGAATTAAGTATGTCAGTCGATTAGTAGAACAATATATATCTCAGTTTACCATTTGCATAATTAAAAATAAAAGGAGGTGGTTGGATTGTCAAATTCTTAAATTAAACCCAAATTACTGCTCAAGATCCAAAAAAGACTTGATAACCTATAAACCTGCCTCAACCAGGTCACAAATTTCTATTCTTGAAAATAGATGGAACTACAGAAGTTAATTTAATACTTGATATTTTTAGAATTTCCCACAAGCAATACATTGTTTGCGATGATTGAGGCTCTGTGAGCTGCTGCTTTAGCACGAATAGCTGAAATTTCATTTCTTACCATTCGTAATTCCTCCAATAGTGTTTCTACCCTGGCTGGTACATCTTCAGCTTTCACCTTTGCAGAATGAATTTTAATAATTAAAATATTGGAAACAATCAGGTGTTCTTTATTTAGCAAAAAGATTACAGAAGAAAACATACTTTGAGAGTGGAGCAGAGCTGTTTCATGTAGTTATCTCTAGCATTCGATAAAAGCATCACTAGCAACGGCTTCTATACGTCTGATTCTAGACGCAATCGCCTGTTCTGAGATTATTTTCAAGCCACGTATTTCAGAAGTACTACTGACATGAGTGTCACCACATAGTTCTATGGATACACCTGGAACCTCTACAACACGTACCTAAAATAATCATAGTGTTTGAAGGAAAAATTAAATCCTATGTAAAAGTATGTTCCATAAGTTACAGCATTTATGTGTTGTGAAATGAGTGTATATTTTGACACCATTTTCTGTCAGAACTCAGAAGTACAAAAGAAAAGATTTTATAGAAACTTGAACCTGTTCTCCATATTTTTCTCCGAACATTGCAATAGCCCCAGCTTTTTTAGCATCAGTTAGAGGCATCACTTTAGTTTGCAGAAGTGTAGAGTCCTCAATCTAGCTATTGATCAGTCCTTCAATCTCTATGAGCTCATTATCCAAAAGTGGCGGTGGAAGTTGCAATCAAATCTAAGATGATCAAAAGCGACCAATGACCCAGCTGTGATGTTTCCTGGCCTATTACTTTTTTAAGTGCAGCTTGTAGCAAATGAGTAGCAGTGTGATGAACCTGCCAAAGAGCAAACAAGGTTCACAAAAAGTCTAATAGAGTTTCGAGATAGAAAAATAAACTAAAAAACACTACTGTAGAAGTTCGCATCATTAAATATGCAGACAAGTGCAGACAAGTTAATTATACTATAAATATGGTAAACTGTATTATTTAAGCCAGTACCTTAGCTCGTTGCCTCAACTTTGCATCTACCGCAACTTCCACTTCACCGCCAACCTCTATACTTCCCTCCTTGGTAGTACCCTTACGAACAAATATATTACCGATGGATTTTTTGACGTCTTTTATCTCTACAACAGCAGTCTGTTGGTTTCCAGGTTCTGAAATAAATAGAAAACCATTGTCTCCAATTTGACCACCTGATTCAGCATAAAATGGTGTCCTATTGAAAAAAACTTCCACTTCGCTGCCTTCGAAAACCTGTAGCACCGGTTTCACATTCACCAAGAGAGCCTCAACTGCTGCTCTGGTGGAAAGTGTGTCATAACCTAGAAATTCTGTGCCACGAATATTTTCAGCTAGATCTAAAAAAAACCTTTATATAACAAATAATAAAAACTAAACTAAACACGTCATAACAATTAGTAATGTAACCAAATTAATATCAAATGCATTTCAATATCCCAAATTTTATTCAAATATCCAACAATACTTTCATACCATTTAATTTTTAATTTTTTTTTAATATTAGTTTGGTGGTGTGTGTGATTTTGCAGCAGTTCCATCACCATCTTCATCTTCATGACCTGGAATGCTTGCTGTAGGGCAGATGGGTAGCTATGGTGGGTATGGATCTGTGACTATGGAGAAAATTTTTAGGGTAAGTTACACTATACTATACTGCTCTCTAATACTGACTGAATACAGGTTGCTGTCATTATGTAGTTGGGCAACCAGTGAACACAAAATCATAGTCTAGTTATTGTCTTCCTCTCTCAACCTAGATTCAGAATTGTCTATACATTCCAATCATCCAAAAACTAGCCTTAATTCAAAACCATCCAAAAAGAACTATCCTTAAGTTATAATTGTCCAAAAAGTTATAAACTACCCAAAAACTATATCATATATAAGTTTCTAAACAAGTGTTGTTGTTAAAAAAAATCCTAGTCAAATAAGTGTTGTTGTTCTGCAGTATACGGAGAAGCCACCATCCAATGAATTAGGATTTGACAGCTGAAACATTTTATAACTAGCATATTCATCTTTATAATTGAACATAATCATTAACAGTTCAGATCAACTAAATCCTCATTTGATCTGTTAACAATTAGACCTATTAGATTCTGCTAGTAATTGAATAATCACATTTCAACCACAAAATTATTGGATTAGATTCAGCTTAGAATACAGTCCATTGATGGGCCTAGTCTCAGTTTATATAGTTTTTCATTTTAAGACAAATTTTCCAAGGACATTTTGTATTTCTGATTTGCCTCACCGCCACCAACAATGATGCTAATTATAGTTGTATTAGTGACCAATTAAGGTGCTTAAAAAGATAAAATCCACATTAGGGACGTTCTTAGTTAACTCACAGAAATATAATCCCAAGTCTACCACCACAAACTCAAGTGTTATCGACAACGTTCATTCAGAATCTTATAGTATGGACTTAGGGCCATATTTTAATTAAATGAGAGGAAAAGCAGAGGGTAATCAAAATATGAAAATAACTTGTGTATGCTGATATTATTTCATCTTTAGTGAAACTATCTTCTTGTGTGCTAATCTCATGCAAATATAGACAATCAGGATTGCTGCAAGACTGCACCAAGCAAATTTCAATCCTCACCTATAACCAATAGTCCAATTTCCAATCAATAATTCAGAAATCATACCACATTTTTCAGCCAGGCATGGCAATATTTTGTGGTTCCAAAGCATGCCCAGCAAAATGAAATCCCAACACCTACATAAGAGAATACAAAATAAAACATAAATCTTGAATGTAGCCATTTCCCACCTCAATGGTCTACCATCCAAGGTAAACCCATGCACTGATTGAATACATCGAACCGCTTCCTCCTCCTTTGAGTAAGTAATATATCTGGGATAGAAATCACGTTTAAGAACAGAACAGTTGTAGTGAAGTAATGGAACAAAAATATGTAAACAAGCTAGTATCAACATACAACTGGATAAAAAGAATAAATAAACTGCATCTTCAGATTAGGCGGTTTCCTTGTACATATGAACTAATAGAGTAAGCAAGAGATTGAAATGAACAAGCAATGTTTGACAGAAACATTTTGAACTATTTATAACTCAATTTCACTTCTCAAGGAAGATAACAATAAATACATAAACAAAAACTAGCAATAATGAAAACACTTAGACTTACACACTACAAGTATTGTTTGCAAAATGTTGAATAGCACCAGCTGCTGTCCGAGATATAGACACCTTCAGCACCTTTCCATACTGACCAAAATACTCTCTCCGTTGGAAAAGCTGCTAATAAAATGATAAAACTGTTAACAAATAGACCTATACCCCTGTTGTGAAGGGTGGTAAGGGGGAGAGAGAGAGAGAGAGAGAGACAGAGAGAAAGCAGAAAAGTACACACGTCTTCATCTGCCAAATTAAGAGGTAACCCCACAATGTAGACAAGATTTCATTGAAGCACTAACACAGTGCTAAGTTACTTTCTTCCTTCAGATGTTTTACCTTTTGCCTTTCGTGGCTTTACTTTTCTCTCCATATTCATCTCAAAAAAATGATAACTGTCACAGCATAGCCAGTCTTCATGACAATAGAATTAACAAGCATAATGTGGTACAACGTAGATTCAGAACATGTCAGCAACTAAATGGTATATATACTACTAAAAAAATAGCCATAAGCAAATGTGCATTTTCTAGAGGAATGTAAATTTTTTGCTATAATACAAACCTTTCTTCCTGGGACATGCCAGAATGGATGCAGATTGATGGAAAATTACACTCAACTAGCAAGAAGATATGTTCGAACTGCAACTCCAGAGATCTTCCCATGCTTATCGAATTGGATCTCTACAAATTTACCAAAACGACTGGTACAACCATCTAGTCATGTAAATTTTCTTGTAAGTCAAACCATAGTAGTAGATAGAATGAAAAATAGGATATATTTGAAGGAAAAAAAGCATCCAACTAGTTCACCTGGAATTGTTGTTTTTCACGGTTTTGGCATTCCCAAATGCTTCCAAGACCGGGTTGGACTGAAAATTCAAAATGGCAAGTGATCAAAAAATTTATAATATCACTTGAAATATATGAAGTAACGTTGACTTTTACAGACCTCTAATACTTGCTGTTCAACTATTCTTCCTCCTTCAGCACCAGATCTGCCCCCTATGAATGCAAGGTATCTCATAAGCATTTTTGTTGTCTCATCAGACCTAAAAACCGATCTTTCTTCTGCCACTACCCATCCCCTATCACATTACATACTTAGGTTGAATATTGAATAATGGGCATAAACAAAATGCAAAACTGAAAGCATAGAAGGCTGCAAGCCTGCAACCACTGCATTCCTAACTATTTGTAATGTAACCAAATTATTATCAAATGCATTTCAATATCCCAAATTTTATTCAAATATCCAACAATACTAAACATAAGAATCCTAAAATGCGTCTAACTATATCCAACAATTCCAAACATAATAATTCCAAAAAGTATATAACATTCAACAAAAAAACCTATAAAAGGAAATAAAGAAAAATTAAATGAATGCCAACGTGCAAAACGATATATATCACTACTGAACCACGAACATCCATCACCAACCTGTGAACAAAAGGATAAAAACATGAGTATTTTATTAATGCATTAACTTCAACAATAATATACAAATATAGTTAAAATTAATCAAAAAATTGTTGTGAAGCTTTCATATATATCAAGCTATTGTATACAAAGGTTGTAATGCTAGGATTGTAATACAAAGTTTATATAATTTTATATTGTTGACACATGTTAGGATTGGTTAAATAAAGTAAATCAATTTAATGAGGTGTCAAATTTACCTCTATTTCAACCAAGAGAAGTTTCATCCTCCCTTACACCCGATGCATCCTCACCAGCATTGTTGCTTGGAACTAACCCCGGAATGTTTGCTAGATCTATCCCACTTTTTGCTGCCAACATTTGAATTATAGTTTGCATTGTACTCATGTTTTGAGCCTGGTCAACTAACTGCTTTCCTTGGTCAGCTAATTGTTGTCGCTGGTCAACTAACTGCTGTTGAAGAACAATCACCTCGGAGTTAGGAGCCTCAAAATGTGTAGAAGATGAAGTACTGTCCTTGCGGATCCCGTATCCCTTCAAGAAGACCGACCTCTTCCCAAGTACTTCTCTAGAAATCTGCTCCTCAGACAATGGATGTGTGACACTAGGTTGAGATTGCTCAGCGATCTTTGAAACCATAGTGGCCTATGAATGAAACATAAATAAGCTTAAAACATAATATCAAAATGCAAACATTTATTATTGAAATTGAAATAGTTATGGTTACATGATGTTCCTCAGCTGTGTTATTTATCCACACTCCCCCATGTCGGTGACGTTTGTGGGTGTCCTCGAATAGTTTCGTAATAGTCGGTTTGCTTCCTTGTACCTTTCATTTCATTAGATTTTCTAGTCAATCAATAATTCTGTATTTATAATTTAGTATGTTCAAATTTGTAAATCTACACTTACAATGATAGATGCTCGCGATGCAAATGATCTCGAGCCACTCGTATGATTATACTTCACACAACCTCTCGCTTTCATCGCATTCTCTGACTTTACCTAAAAATTAAAAAAAAAATTTGGTATTAATATACAGGAGGATGTTACTTTAGTAAATATTTTTATAAATACCTTCCAATCATCAGTTTCCCACAAATTGTCAATCATCCATTCCCAATCATCCTTTGTACAAGGATATAGTATCTGACTTTTGAGGTCAGATACATTGTTTTCTTTAAGGGATTTGTAGTGTGTGTGTAATCTACTTTTCCATTCACTGTACAAAGTTTGGCACTTATGATCAATAATACATCTCACATCCACATCATTATTGTAGTCCCCAAAGTCAAAAGCTTGCTGCAATTAGAAACAATAAAATTCAATATATTTTATATATCATTGCGATTAACATAAATAACATGTTAAATATATAACACATATATTTCAAATTACCCCAACTCTTGTAACAATGGACTCTCTTAACCCAAAGGCAATTTCTAGCCATCCATCATTTCGAACTGGGGCATGAACTCGAATTTGTTGACCAAGAGCAGCTGCTAGCGGTGTGGCGTATTCCCCTTCTATTGCTTTGGTCAAACGGTTAAGTGTAACGGGTATTCGATCACCACGTTCCTTTCTAATCTTCTCAACATTCTTTCCTCGGGTCGGTCCTCGTACACGTTTCTTGCCCAAAACTGGAATTGATGCTATTATGACCAAAATTTTATTCAATTTAGTCGACATAAAACATGAATGCACTAAATAAATATTGAGACAAGAAATTATCATTTCATTTAAGTGGTCATTTATTTCTCACCTCCACTGTTAGTCACAATACATGGACTTGAAAGGTGGTTAGGTTGAGTGGCGGAGGTAGGGAGCTGATCGGGCCTAGTATGTAAGGCGGGAAGATGGATAGGACATGGCCAGAGATTGTAATCAGAATAGCGAAAAGTTCGTTGCTAGTTCAACTGCATCGATTCCAAAACCGGGAAATGCTATGAGGCCTACGACCACCAGAGATACTGTGAGACAAGGGAGAGTTTTTGCGCTTGTTCCGGGCGATATGCCAAATGCTGAAGCCGTTGCCTCAGGTACTATCTCTATATGCAATCGGGATGCTTTTGTATTAATTGACTCCGGATCAACACACTCATTCGTAACCTATGCATTTGCATCTAGATTGAGTAGACCTTTAGAATCATTGCCATATTTGTTATGTGTATCTGCTCTATCCGGGGAATCTGTATTGTGTGAATCTGTATATCGTTTTTGTGACATGCATGTTGGGAATGCCATCTTATATGTGGATTTGTTGCCCTTGAATTTTAGGCAATTTGATGTAATTTTGGGCATGGATTAGTTAACTAAATATTGTGCCACCATTGATTGTATGACAAAACGGGTTGTGTTTAGACCACCAGAACAGGAAGAAATTGTGTTT